TGCGAGGATATGTGGAAGGAATCCCGGGTCGAGGATTTGGTGAGTGGCGAGCGATGTTTTGTTGCGTTAGATATGAGTGGTGTTGGTTGTGGAGGGGGTGGCATTGTTTTTGGAATGAAGATGGTTGGGTGTTGAGAGTGGGCCGGCGAGGAAGATGGGATTGATTCGATTTCGGGATGGTGATGGAATGTGCAGAGACCAGCGTGGAGGTGCTGCCAAGGCTGTTCAAGATCAAGTTCGACAGCGGCATCCAAGAGGAGCTGTTGTTCGTGGATATGCCGCACGAGTGTCGGCTAGCGTCTGGGCAGACGGTGCTGGAGTACGGAAAAGCCATTCAAGAGAGCGTGTTCGAGCAGCTGCGAGTCGTCCGAGAAGGGCAGCTGCGCATCGTGTTCTCAGCAGAATTGAAGGTTGGTGTGGGAAGAGGAGGTTTCGAAACATAGATGATGAGTGAGAGTGGAGTGGTTGACGTTGGGAGTGCGTGGGGGGGGGGGGTTGGGTGCATGAATGCGCCGGAGAGGAAGTGATGGAATGGGAAGGGCGATGGGAGTATTGACGCATGATGGTTGGGTTGGCAGATATTGTCCTGGGAATTCTGTGCCCGGAGTCACGAGGAACTGCTTCCGAGAAGGCTCATCATACCTCAAGTATGCAGCTGGTGCGTTGCCAGGGAGGGGCGTGTGGGCAGTAATTGGTGCATGAGGTGGAGAACGTAGAGGAATGGTGGCCTTTGGAGTAGGGGAGATAGTAGAATTTAAGCGGATCCGGGATGGATGTGTGTGTGGGTTGGGTCTGACAGAAGCGTGCATTGTGTTGGTATCAGGTGACCAGCTGGTGCAGATATCGCAAAAGCATCAGAACTCGCAGAGCGGCGGAGCAGGAGCGTCAGGTCAAGACCTGCAAACCAACTGTCATATGTAAGTGGCCTCCTGGTTGAGAAGGCATGCGGATGGTGTGTGTGTGTGTGAGAGAGAGAGAGAGAGAGAGAGAGAGAGAGAGGGCACGGAGGTAGGGTAGGGAGGGAAGCGGGCAGTGGAGAAGGGTTGACGTGAAGGTGGCGTGGGAGGTGTGGGTGTAGTTGTTTGTGGGGGGGTTGTGGAGGAGTGGGTTGGACGTGGTGGTGAGGAAGGAAATTGAGGATCTGAGTGGGGATGGTTGCGGTGTGGCAGGTTTGTGGCAAGTGCACGGCAGCTGGCGAAGAATTTGGAAATGCCAAACGTGAATGAGCTTGGGTACACGAAGCGCTACGTTCGGTGTCTGCAGGTAGGAGAAGTGAGGAGAGGAGATGGAGGGAATGTTGCGGGTGGCGGTGCAGGTAGACGGAGAGATGGGTTGGTGTCAGTGAGTGGTGACTAACGCGGACGCGTGGGCACGGTGGTGGTGTGCAGATTTCGGAGGTGGTGAACAGCATGAAAGACCTGATAGATTACAGTCGCGACAACAGCTTCGGGCCCATCGGTATGGTGACGGCGTGTGTAGGTGGTAGTGGAGTGGGTTGGGTGGAGTGTTAGGGAATCGATTGGGGGGTTTGACGTGAGGAGGGGGGTAGTTGTGTGTTGCATAGCAGCGGAGGTGGAGGGGATTGTAATGTGGTTTGGGTAGGGTTAGTGGTGGCATGGTGCTGATTTGTGGTCGGGGTTGGCGGCGTGGTTTGACTTGCAGCGAGTTTACACAAGTTCCCTCGACGAAGTGACGGGAGCAGTCGAAGCATGCTTCGGAATGCGCAACTAAGATTACTGCAGGAACAACAGCAGCGGCAAGAGCAGGTGCAACAGAGACAGCAAGAACTGCAACAGCAGCAACAGTTGAGACAGACGGATCAGCAGCAGCAGCAGCAGCAGCAGCAGAGACAAGCGGCGTCACAGCAGCAAGAGGATCTGGACCTGCAGAGCCTTCTAGCAGAGACGAACACGACAGCCCTGAGCAGCTTACAACAGCAGTTCGAGGAGGCGAATCAACTGGAGAGCCGGGCGGGGGACGGGTTAGAGGAAGTGATTTCAGCGCCGGCGGAGACGGACAGTCTGAGCGCGTTCTTCCCGTCGAACCCGCTAGCGGCGCTGCAGACATCTCTGCACGACACACTGCAATCGGCGGCAAACGGAGGAAGCGTGCAGAACATGGTGCAGAGCCCGCTGGGAAGCAGCAGCTTACATGCGCAGCAGCAGCAGCAGCAGGTGTCGGGGGGTAGAGGAGGAGCGGGTGCGGTGACGCTGCAGGCGTCTCCGACGAACTCACTGTCGTCATTTCAGAATTCATTTCCGTCGCTGTCGGGCGGGGGAGCGAGCTCGTACTCACGAGGCGAGGCTTCATCGCAGCAGAAAGTAGGAGGAGGGGGCGGTGGCGGGGCACTGCTGCAGCAACAGAAAGCGCAGGGCAGCCATCACGGGGGGCCGTCGAATGTAGTGCACAACCTGCTGCAAGAGATGATGTTGAACCAGCAGCTGAGCAACAACGGGAACAGCATGAACCAGCAAGGGGGTGGACATGTTGGTGTGGGCGGTGGGGTAGGAAGCCTGGGGAACGGGCTGAACGGGAACCTGACGGGATCTCTGGCAGGAAGCTTGGGGCTGAACGGGTTGGGGCAGGGGCGGATGCTGGGACTGGGAGGCGGCATGAACAGCGTGCACAGCATAGGCGGATTAGTGAACAACAACCACGTAGGGGTGACTCACAGCAGCAGCAGCATAGACAGTCTGATGGGAAACAGCGCAAGTAGCGTAGGTATTGGCGGGGTGGGGAGCAACGTGGCCTTTCTGCTCTGGGGAACCACAACCTGCGAGGGATGGGCGGCGTTGTAGGAGGGAATGGATTGAACGGTCTGAGCGGGTTGATGGGCAACATGAGCGCGCACAACGCGAGGTTGAATTTGGCTGCTGCTGTTGCGCAGCAGCAGCAGCAGCAGCAACAGCAAAATCAGCTGCAGGAGGTGGGCCATCAGTCGATGCATCACGATGTGGGCGGGAATAACATGCTCGGAGGGCTGGGCATGACTGGCTCGTTCGGAGGGCTGTTCAACTAGAGAAAGCAGCGTTGTGGTGATAGTTTAAGGAGTGGACGCATAATTTATGATGAGGAGTTGGCTTTTCTTCATTATTGTATCTTCATTTGTCTGGGTCCGATTCGACCATGGTTTTTAATTACCTCGTTTGTTTATGGAGCCGTCAATTTTTAATTTCGTGTATATATATATTTTTTGCGGTTTCGTGTGTATTGTTCGTGTTACGAAGCATCTTTTAGCTTACCTTCGCCCTTTTTCGAGTCGTGTTATGCGCTTTCTTGCAGTATATACTTGAGTTTGTAAATGACTGAGTACGAGTTGGTTATTCCCTAGTTTAGACAGGACTTTTGCCCTGTCCGCATTTTACTGCGTTTTTAGGGTATTTGTGTTTGTTTTTTGTATGCTGATGAATGACCGGTAACTGAGTCGTGTGTCTGGTGCCCTTTTAGTCGGTGTGGTACTGGTTGACTTTGAATGTTTTAGTTTTTTGGGTGTTGGTGTTGCATTGGTGTCACAACTTTTAGAGTATACGGAGTGTTTGCAGTGACCGTATCTGGCAAATGAAATGCTTGCCATATTCTAATGGTTGAGTTAGTTAAGCTCGTTGTTTGTGGAAACTGGCCATGGGCATGGGGCTCAGTGCTGTGCTTGGATGTCCACAGCTTTTGACGATAATTAGTGCTACTGGAGTGGTTGAAGTTGAGGGTTTGATGGCATAATTGAGAAGGACAGTTTGGATGAGCTGCAGAGTTGAGCAATCTTTCAAGAACTTTCACATTTGTGGAATGTTAGCATGACTCGTGTGTTCAAATGACGTCGATGATGTTTCGGACTTTGTAGGATGTGGTGAATTGCTATTAGGCACTCAAGGGTTCTGCTTGCAGTGAGGTGGATGATATCTCGTATGTGTTTACAAACATTTGTATAATTTGAGATTATGTGCGAGCATGTCGAGTGGAACGGCGGTTTGATTCTTTTCGGACATTCGCAAACGTTTTTCAAGCTAATTTACATTCGCTCACAAATCAGAAAAATTACTCAGCCGGAGTGCTGCGTGGAAATGCATTTTGAACTAGTTATTCCTACTACAACTCAGTAGTGGCCATCAAGGCATGACACGTTTCGAAAACACAGTATGTCTTTAGATCGTTGCAATAGATTGTGGTTATCCGAAAGAAAATTGTAGTTTCTGGAGTTGCATTTGGGTGCCCTTGCTTTGAAAGATTTTGGATTGACGAGCACTGGAGTCCAGCAGAATTCTGAACATCAAAAAGCTGAGCTGGCTTGTTGAAGTAACCATGTAGTGACCAGTTGCATTCACCTTAGACACTGGAAACTATTCTAAGCATTTGTTCCATTCTGTTGAAGGGGAAAGATGCAAGAACGAACGGTATTGACACGTGAGCAGCGAGAATGTTGTGCAATAGAATCCGACGGCGGACTTTGAAACCGAATCCAACTGTTAATTAATTATCAGGGAATTGTTTTACCGGCCTCTGGTTCTCAAAGTGCTCAGCGGTAGTTGCAAGGAGTGATAAGTCACGGTCTCATCCTCATCTGTGTCGACGTAGGTCGTCCTGACGTGGATTCCACAAGCTGGTTACTTACGCAAGTCCGACATGGACATTTGCCTTTTCCACGCCTTGAACATGTGCTGATGCTATTTTCCTCTTTGTAGTTATCGACCCTGGGAGGTGCAGTTCTGTGACATATAGTTGCGAATTCTGTGAGGTGCAGCATAGCAGCGGAGAGGTGTGGATTTTTGGTTTGAATTTTTGACGCGTTTTGTGGTGTAGGTTGGGGTGGATCGATCGAGCATGGGGCGGGGGGTGTGTGTAGGTGTGACTGTTTGGTTGAAATAGTTCGCGCCGCTTGAGATGTGCGTTTTTGAATATGTGTCGTTGGTGATGAGGATCATGGGTTGTGTTGAGAGCTAGAATGGGTGGCAAATTGTTTCTGGGGTTTGTGATTTTCGGTATTCTTGGGATTGTTTAGTTTGACGGCAGTAGGCTAGTATGCGTGGGAGTAGCGATGGTGCGGTTTAAATTGTATTCAATAATTTCGACCAGATTAATGCTTAGTTTATTTCTGGTTTCTTTTCGAGCAGATTAGTTCGATTTGCGGAAGCGGTAGTCAGGTGTGTTGGTTTACAGAGAAGCGCGTTTCTTGTGATTGTGAAGCATGTGAGGGCTTGTTGACGTGGTGATCTAGTGGCAATAGTTGATGGTAGTTTTTGTGCTGCAGGTGGCATACCAAATTTTGGACAAGTACTATAAAGATGCAGAGACAGGGAGCGAATCTTGCAGGACGGTTATGGAGTCTGGCTGCTACGCGGACATCGCCTTGGACGCAAGCCAAGCATGTCTCACCCGCAATTGTAAGGGGTTCTTTTTTCTGGCCCTTATAGTAATAGTTTTTGGTATTTGTGTCGGATTAATTAGAACTAGGTGTAAAGTGTGACGCAACAGGAAAGTTTTTGGGGCAGCTTATGAGAGTGCAGGATGCGGTAGTGTGATGACTAACCGAGTTCATTATATTTATATTCATTTTTGCAATATAATTGAGGCTTTTTCGTCGGGATGTTTGGGTTTCGAATCGCGACAATCTTGATTCAAATGTACTGGTCTTGATTCGTGTACATGGTGTTCAATCTACCCCATCTTTTCAAGAGATGGAAGTATTACTGTTGGAGTTGCTACGAATTTTTCTGTACAATGCTTGTGGATTGGTCGAAATTCAGTTACCCAGCCTAATTTGGGACAGAAATTTGTGAGGAAATAGGGAATCTCATAAGCTCGACGCGGTTCATTTCGAGTATTTTTCTAACACTGGGATGCATGGGTTTGCCGTATTCTATTGTTTGCGACAGATCTTTGCCAGCAGGCCAATGTCCACATCTACTGCTATTATGGAGGAAGGAATGGGTAGTGGCCGTAGCCTTCTCCTTGACGATACTGCTGAGCAGGTATTTATGCTGATTATGCTTGATGTAATGCGGAGCTGAAGGGTGGTTGTGGTGGATTTGGTGAACATGTTGAAGGCCAGGGAATGCTTATCGGTTTATAATTCTGAGTTTCGCTGAAGGTGATTGGAACTCTGATCTTAATCATGATACGTCCTTCAGTTTAAAGAGAGCGTCCGGCATTTTTCACAAGAGAATATTGCTCCTCATGCAGCTGCCATTGATCATAATAACAGCTTTCCGACGGTGAGTATTTTCGATTTTCAAGTGTTGCAGTATTTTTCAATTGTCCAATTACATTGACGCTTGTATTTATTCGTCGTTTAGATATTATGTAATTTACGTTGATATCTGAATGCTTGTTTCGTTGGTCAGGATGTTAACCTGTGGAAGTTGATGGGAGACTTCAATCTGCATGGTATCACTGTTCCGGGTAAGACGATTCTCCTATATTTCTGTTCTTGTTCTCGTTCTTGCTCGCTTTCTTTGCTTGGATATAGTCTTAAATGCAAGTGGCTTTGTCTCGTGCAGAGGAGTTCGGTGGTCTTGGATTAGGATATCTTTACCATTGTATAGCCATGGAAGAAATCAGTAGGGCTTCTGGTGCTGTTGCTCTTTCGTACGGAGCACACTCTAACCTCTGCATCAATCAACTGGTAAGGGCGTCGATATTTTTCTCTAAGCATCCTTTAAGCAAATCCTTGTCTCTAAATATATTTTAATCTACACACTAGAGTTCTTGTTGAAGTGGCGTGTTACCTCCTCTCTTGCTCCTTTTCAGGTTCGGAATGGGACACAGGCACAAAAAGAGAAGTACCTGCCAAAGGTTAGCCTTCATTGCAGTTTTCGACGAAGTTTAAGAATAATTGTGAGGAAGTTGTATGTATCTGGAATTGTTCTCGCTTTTCCTCTATACACCTTGGGAACTTCAAAATGTTACTAATTCGGGGCGTCTGGATTGGAATTGGCATGCCACTATCTTTAAGCTTATAAGTGGAGAACATATTGGGGCTTTGGCTATGAGCGAACCGAACTGTGAGTGTCTTCATTCCAGTCCCATACCATTCTTGTCACTTCAAAATATTTATTAGTTATAGTTGTGTGACTTGTAACGACTTTTCAACTTGAAATCTTGAGGTAACGATGTAACTTGGAAATTGAGATTGCTTCACAACAATGATGTCACCAATACTGATTCTGACGTGTGGGACAGCTGGGTCGGACGTGGTTAGTATGAAGTGCCGAGCTGGAAAAGTCGAAGGGGGTTACGTACTCAATGGAAACAAGATGTGGTGCACCAATGGCCCCAAAGCAAACACACTGGTGATCCTCATTGAATATGTTTCAGCTGATGTTCAGTTGGCGCAAAGCACGTATATGAAATTCTGCATATACATTAGCACATATTGCATATGTTCTGCTGAACTGTGTTCCATGATTTAGTTGACTCAAGGTCTTGCAATTCTGTTTTGACAAACTTTGTCTTTTAAAAAATTAAAAAATCAAAACATAACATAGCTTTTTAAAGACCAGATCGTCTATGTAAAAACGGACGTGCACGCGGGGGCACATGGAATAACTGCTTTCATCATCGAGAAAGGCATGGAAGGGTAAGCTGAGATTTTGAAATGGTGCATTCTGACATCAATTTAAGCACTTCAATCTCATGTAGTTTACTTTTTGTAAAAGCCTGCGTGTTTCAGATTTTGAATGCAACATGGGGTTTCTTTTATTTATTATATTTCGATGTCTAATACTTCTTCTTTTTGCCTAGTGCAGGTTTAGTACTGCTCAGAAACTAGACAAGCTTGGGATGCGGGGCAGTGATACGTGAGTTCTTTTTCACCCTTAACTTACTCATGACATTGGGTAGAGTCCGTCTGAATTTAGTTGTTTCTTACGTGGAAAACTTTTGCTTCCATGCTACCGATGTATAATCTCTGATTGAATTTGATGTTTCTGGCAGATGTGAGCTTGTGTTTGAAAACTGTTTTGTATCAAACGATCAGATTCTTGGTCAGGAAGGGAAAGGTTTGTACATTCTGTCACCTTGCTAGATATATAAACCACTTGCTCGAAACCACTTGCTGCCTTTTTCGCAATGCAACATGTGAAGTACTTGCTTTGCTGACTGGAGTTTCGGGGTCGCGTTCAGGAGTTTATGTGATGATGTCTGGCTTGGACTTGGAGAGGCTCGTACTTGCTGCGGGGCCCTTGGGCTTGATGCAAGCGTGTCTCGATGTAGTCCTTCCTTACGTGCGCGAGCGGCAGCAATTTGGAAAACCTATTGGCGAATTTCAATTGATGCAGGTAATTTATTTTTGAATGCCTTACGCTTTAACAGAGGTAGATACAGCTGCAGAATGCAACTTACTTTTCATATTACTCTTGGTGCAAGTTGTCCTGCCTTCATTAACCTCGGTTTCCATCTTGTTCCCGATAGCCCATCATTTCGGAGGTACATGTAGATTTGCTCTGCCTTTTTATACATCTGGTTCATTTACAATTCATCCGTGCGCCTCGGCTTTATTACAATCTCAATTAGTGAGGTACTTTTGTGTTCTAAAGGCAATTAACTTCATGAATGTATCCTTATGGAAACTTGGTGATTACATCAACGTGCAGGGTAAGCTAGCAGACATGTATACGAAAATGCAAGCCTCTAGGTAAGGGAGACGATCTGAATGTTGCAGCAAGTCGATAGCAAGTATTTAGTAGTTCCGTGTAAGGACCCCGATACGTATTTGTTATTTTTGCATTACCTATGCTTACTATGCAGCTGCTAGACAGTAAAATTAATGCCAGTATCTTGTGTGTTTTCAACCCTTGAAGTAGAAAAGCTCTTGAAATATATTCGGTTTTCTTTGTGATGTATCGACATATATCCATTGGGTTACTTGTTGTTGATGCGTGAGCAGGGCTTTTGTGTACTCTGTAGCCCGCATGTGTGACGCTGGACACGCAGATAGAAAGGTAGTCTACCCTCTATCCTGAATAGTTTCCGACCAAATGAATGAAACAAGAAATCTCCAGCAGGATTTAACAGTTTCCCTTCCTGTTGTTTTTTCATCATAGAAAAGTGATTGTCACTTCTCTGCAGTACTTTGTAACGTTGAGAGCTTTGCGAATGATGTGATTGCTTCTCGTTTTCTAGGATTGTGCATCAGTGATACTATTTTCTGCTGAGAACGCTACCCAGATGGCGCTTCAGGTAACTAAGTATTTCTATTGAGTACTGTCTTTCTGATATTGTTCGTATTTTTCAGTTAGTTTGATATTGACATGGTTATATTTTCTGAGTACTGGTTTTCTTATAATGGTCCCAGGCCATTCAATGTTTGGGAGGAAACGGATATGTTAATGAATATCCAACTGGTCGGCTTCTTCGAGATGCGAAGCTGTATGAGATTGGAGCAGGGACAAGTGAGATTCGGCGAATGTTAATTGGTCGTGAGCTCTTCAAGGAAGGCTGATGCATTTGAAGTTCAGTCTCGATTCAACTTATTGCTTCAAATTGAGGTTAATGTTGAGGTTGATGTATGACATGCCTTGTACTTCGAATTTACATGTATAGCTATGAATGTAGAGATCTGCAGGTCCAATTTGCAGAGTTGTGAATTAGAAGGAATTATTTTTAACTTCAGGTTTTCAAATAGTCTCTAAACTTAATGCTGTAAGCTTATGTAAATGTCTCGAAGTTGGAATCAGATTGCAAGGCTTTCTCTTCTAGCTTTCACTAAAGCCCCATTGTCTTACCAAAATTCTGGTAGACATGAAAGTATTTCCAGTTGTAAAACAACCATTAATTTTTACCATATCATTTTTTATCTTTTTATTTTCAAATGGAATCAATTTTGAAAATCTGAAATTTAGATCTTTTGATAATCAATCCACCAAGTTTCTTAGACATGTATTTTTCATTGTTCTTAATCAAACGATTTTACTTTTTTGTGATGAAGTTATATTTTTGCCTTGGATTCTTTAGATACCTTGGATTCTTTAGATACCTTGGATTCCTCAAGCTTTAAAATGTATTCACTTTGTAACCTCACTTATGTTTTATTTAAAAATTATAGATAAAGGTTGAAATATAACATATTATTCTTATTATTTTTATATCCATAGAATTTTTATGTTTATCATAAAGAATGTGTATTCACTTTTTACATTTATGCTTTAATTTGTATAAGGTATTAAAAACAAATAAATCACAATAGTATTTTAATTATGTTGTTAAATAATTTAAATTTAAGAAAATAATTTTATATTTTTTAATATCATCAAAATACTTCACCAATTTATTTGTAAAGTTTTATATAAAATTTAGAATTAAATATATTTTAATTTAATGAAGATAATTGAATAAGACTATAATAAAAAACAATCAAGTATTATGATCCATCTAATAAAGTCAAATAATTAGATCAACGTGGTATATTGAAGTTAATGATCCATCTAATAAAGTCAAATAATTAAATCAATGTGGTATATTGAAGCATATGATCCATGTAATAAAGTCAAATAATTAGATCAACGTGGTATATTGAAGCATATGAAACAAATTGGTACACACACAAAAATTGTTTAATAAAAAATGTTTATGTAAGTCAATTGAAGTAATTATTAAGATTAAAACATATATGTATATACATCATATATATATATATATATATATATATATATATAATAAAAATAATAGATAAAAAGTTGATTTTTTTGTATTTTGGTTATGTATGTATTATTTTTGAATTGTATGATTAAAAATATTATTATTATTTAATTAATATGATAATTTTAATAGATTATTGTTGATGTTGTTATTATAATATTACATAAATTAACACACCAAATTATTAATATAGACTTAATTTTTTGTACAAAAAAGATTGGTAATTGATGTATAGATTTAAATCTTATTTTTTAAAAATCTTTTTAATATTTAATTTTAAATATCTTCTCTAATATTTTTTTCTGGTATATCTTAAATAAACATCTTCTCTAGTGTTGTAATTTTAGCCACTATTAGTCATTATTACTACAAAATTATAATAACTACCATGATTTTAGTATTATTAGATTTTTTTGATTTTTAAGATTTAGAATCTAAATTATGAAAATTTATAAATATTTATATGACAAAAAAAAAAAAATTATTAGTTTGAACTTTTTTTAGATTCTTTTAAAGAATTTGTTATAAATTTAATTTAAAACTCAATTGTTAGTTATACTATTTTGTTTAGACATAAAATTATTTTGAATTTAATTCTTTACAATATTTTCAATGATTTTCTTACTTCTATATATATATATATATATATATATATGTGTGTGTGTGTGTGTGTGTGTATTTGTTTAATATTTTATACATATTATTATAAAAAAATAAACAAAATTTTTAATTCAATTTTGTTTTTCACAAATATAATTATTTTTATTAAATTTTACTTATAAAAAGATAGTGGGAACATCTATTTTGTATCTAACCATACATAAAATGTTTATATATATAAAAAAAAAAACTATAATTATTAAGCTGTTTCACTCAGTAAAAAAATAAATTTAATACATTTAGTCAAAGTAAAATTAATAATATTCTATGCATAAATATTTGTTTAAATATATATATATATATATATATGCTAATTATAATTATATTCTTTATAAAAATAGTAATCTTTATTTTTTCATATCCATTTTTATATTTTCAAAATAATTTTGATAATACCTATCTAAATATAAATAAATACAATTTAGTGGAATCAAAACCATAAAAATAACATACCAAAGATTCTACATGGACTAAAGTGGATAAGAAAGGAAGCACAATAACTAGATTAGTTTTAAGTCTGCAACACAAAATGGAATAGAAATTGATTTACTAATCAGCCTTTAGGGAAAAATTATGAATTAGAAGTAGGAAAGGAGGGGGGGGGGCACTCCTTTTCTCGTAAGGGACCAATGCTTGGAACATTATGAAAGTGTTAAGAGCATTAAGTGTAGCCGATGCTCTCCATACTATTTTTTGTAGTATTTACTATAGCTACAATGTTTGGAATGTAGTTGGAAGACACTGCTTATCTTTTCTCCTTCTTGTTGTATAAGAGATATAATCCTACCAATAAACTGACTTCTTGTATGTGTATGTCTTTACATATGTATGCATATTACTTCTAGCTACTCTTGTCTCTCTTTTTCTAAAACATTCTCAACATGTTATCAACACAATTGCTCTTATGCTCTAAACTTGGTTGTTAAAAACTTTTGTGCACTTTTTCCTTCGTTTTCTCTTCAATTTTATTTATTTATTTATTTATTTATTTTTTTCCTTCTTATATTGCTGTTGTTGTTGCTATTGTTGACTTATGGTGTTGTTGTTGTTGCTTCTATTGTTGCTATTATTGTTGTTGCTACTATTATTGTTGTTGTACTGTTGCTACTATTGCTACTAGCTTGTCAACGACTACTGCACCCTGTCATTGAATGACACACCTTGCCATTGATTATCGCTAACTGTTTTGAATTGATGCACTTTGCCACTCACTATCGTTGATTGCTGTTGATTGATGCACCCTACTGCAGTCCATTGCATATCCTTATTTTTGTAATTTTTGTATTTTTGTATTTTTTTTTTCTTTTTTAAATATTTTTGATTTCGAGTTACATCTTTATTATTCTATTTGGCTTTACATTTTAAAGTGCATTTTATTCAACCTTTTCTACTTAAACTTATATTTTTATTCACAGATTTATTGATAATGAATGCTTCAATATTTTCAACTGCTTCTACTATGTTTCCAACTATCACCACTGCATCCCAATATTTTCAAGGTCTTCTATTTCCACCATTGGCTACTGATAGAAACAATTATCTATTATGGGTAAAATAGCAAAAGAAAATTTATTTACAAAACAACTATTGGATGCAATTCTGTTTAAAGAATCTTGTACTGTAAGTACTTCAATTCTTATTGCTATCCATTGGAAAGTACTTCTTCTCCTTTGTTGACATCTTGTACGTGCATTACAACATCAATATTTAGAAATGGAAGATCCAGCCAAGCTTTCAAAGAATCTTAAATTGAAATTTGATCATCAAAAGACCATTTTCCTTCCATGTGCATGTCATGATTGGACACTTTTACATGTCTTGGATTTTCCAAATTTAAATTCTTTCAACAATAAAAATGTATTGTATTTTTCCACAACTATGATTATGTGGACAAAGCATCTCTGAAGAAAAAATGATTGAAAAAATTCTCTCTTCATTTCTTCCCGCATCTGTTGTGCTTAAACAACAATATAGGAATATAAAATTTCATAATCATCTTGATCTTATATCCTATCTACTTCTTGTGGAGAACCAAAATAAGCTACTCTTGCATAATATAGAAGCTTTTCCTATTGGAATTATGATTCTAGAATTTTATGCACTTAATATTCCAAGGTCTAAGAAACAATTATACAAACATGGAAAAAATACTCATAAGCACTAGCTCAATCATGGTTATGACCATTTTTGTTTATATAAAAAGAATAAATATTCTATAACTAATTATAGTAAAAAATAAAAATTAGAGATGTATCCTTACCATAAATGTAGAATGTTTGGACATTTGGCACATGTGTACCATTGTCGTACAGTATGATTTGCTATTTGGGAATACATTGGATATCTAGCTGTAAAGAGTGTAGCTTAAATCTTTATATGAAACTTGTTTTAGCTTCCAAAACTCCTTTATTTTTGCATAAAACTCAAAATATAACAAAATCCCTTCAAAACATATTTTTTCCACAAAGGGATTTCTTTTCTTGAACTTTAGAAACTCATAACTCTTGATCTAACAATTCAATTTGTTTCAAATTTATAAGATAGATAGAATTCATCCTTAAGTTTTATCACAAAAAAAATCCAATTGCAAATTCACTTTTGATCTTCTGATATCTAAGAAACCCTAGTAGATGCTCTAAATCCTAATTTATAAGCACTTGAGCACTATTTTCTTAATATCTCAAGAATCCAATACTCAAATGCCATCAAAATTATGTAAAAAGTTCACTAACATGAATTTACACATTCCTTGAAATTTTGAGCCAAAGCCTTGTCAAATTGCTCAAGATATAGCTCAAGACACAACTACTAGTAAATTGGGTCACTTACTACCTTTAGATTGTATGCACTGACTTCAAAATCCAATAACTCCTTCATCCAAACTTAGAATCTAGTAAGCAGTATGAAAAAAGTGTAGGTGTAAAAATGCTCTCTTTAGTCATAGTCACCGATCCTCAAATACTATCCGGCGTGCGTTATGCCAAAAAGAGTGACAGTAGCTCCCAAATCAACACCTTAACTTTGAGCGACTATATTTCCTTCATATAAACTCCAAACCATACAAAACTTGTACCAAAACCATAGCCAAAAACCTAAACTTGCTGATCCTAACCTTCAAAGCTCGAATGGCTCCGAAAAATTAGCCCTAATTCCTAATATGGCCTAAGGCAGCTTCCTCAAAGCCCATTAGTCATGATTTTTGACCAATAGAAATGGAGATTTTTATCATTCATCTCCATTCATCTATATTGGTGCCTTAATTACTCCCTTTGCTACCAAAATCCTTCTTCAATTATTTTTCTTATAAGATTTAGATAATTTATGCTCTAAACACCAAATAAAAGAATCAAAATAAGTTTCTAAAGGTCACCAATCTAACAAAAGTAACTGTAAATATTTAGAAGTTACTATCAATCAAAACCAATCTTAAAAGCCACTATCAAAAGAAAATTAAAGTTATACAAATTCTATAGTAATCTTTTTCAACAACCTCTTCTCAA